AAAGTACAACGCTTTGCCCTCCGTGAAGAGTTTTGACATTGCGTCTTCTATGTTATCATACTACTGTTAGCTTGGCGGCAACGCCGTAAAATTCCAACTAGACACGGATGTTCTATTCCCCGGTTCCAATGGAACAGTGCGAGAGGAAAATAGAGAATCGGTCGATACAGTGGTCAAAAGGAAACGTAGTGAAGACGAAGTCCTAGAGAGAAAAGGAAGGAAAAGAAAAAAAACTAAGGAAGAGATGCTTCAGGCTCCAAAAAGAAAAAGGGCCGACTGGCCAGCTGATCGACAGATCGACCCCCAATCCACTGGTTCCAGCAGTACGAGCAGCAGCATCCGCGAGTGCTCTGGCCACCGCTGCTTCCCGCATGCAATTCTGCGTGATAAGAACGTATGGCCTGTCGCAAGTCGGTGTCGCTGCGTGGCTCGCGAACTCGTCTCATCGACTGCAAGTCTGCATGCCTTTCTGCCCTAGCTTTATGCCATGGACCAAGTGGCAGGCGTGGAATTTCAATAAGATCCCGTGTTCTCTTCGTTGCAGAGTCTCGACGCTTCACGGCCCTTTCCATCTACTCAGCCAGCCCATTTGCTCGCTCACTTCCGAAGATCTTCAATGGCAGTCCTTTCGTCCGGCCGTTTCGTCTCGTGCAATTCCAGTGTGTATGTGTGTTTATTTTCCCCTTGCCGTGTTCAGCAGCTGCTTGTTCCCCTGTTTGTTTTCCTCGAGCCTATCAGCAGGCCTTCTTGTTATTGGAAGTACGTACGTGAAAACGAGAAGCAACCTTACATCTCGACTCTTTAATAGCCCCAATGTTCCGGAAGTAGCTGCCGTCTTCGCTCCATGGTTATCGGAGCCTGCGACCAAGTTGATGCTGTCTTCTGTCTTTTTCGCACAGCCGCTGCTGGCGCTTTTGGCACCCCGTCTGTGGTCGTGAGGTAGGCGCCAACAACAAACTGGAAGACTTGGTGGAAACTGCTACGTTGAGCGTATAGTAGCGGTAATGCTGGTTCTGTGAAGGACGCTAGCCCCTGCTTAGCGCTCGTAGAGGCTTGCAACATGTATAGGGAGAAACTGTATGGCCTGCTAATGTCGTAGTATCTAGAACGTTGTGTATGTCTTCTTTCTCGTTCACTAGTGCTATCCTTGTGCTCATCTATAGAAGATCGGTCAGAGCAGGAACAGCCTCGTTCAGTTTGGCAATCAACTTAGCGGTACTTCTTTTGCGTTTACTGTTGCTACCTCCTCGTGGGTCGTTAGCTATTCAAAGACGGCGGGCAGTGCTGTGAAAAGACGCCGATGTGTTTTGCTAGAGACAGTAGTGAACTTCGAACCCTTTTAATAACAATCAAACAAGGACGCTTTTATGCTCAGTGGAAAACGGGCGGACTAGGGCTTCACGTAGGAAAAGCTTGGACTTACGGTTTTACTAAGCTAATCTGTAATTTGTAACGTGTAGATTTTTCGTATTGAAATCTTAAATGCTCGTCGATATTAGCTACAAGCAAATAATTATATTATGTCGATGTCGTAACCGAATTGTAGTGAACGCTGGTTCTATGTCTCCCAAGATATAAGTGGACTAAGAATAGTAAGGTTAGTATTTTTTTGTGAAGATAATTACCACGCACTCTTTGAGACAGCTGAGGGGCGGTCAAAGCTTGGAAGCTTATAACTTAATAATGGGACTATTTACTGCACGAGTTCACTAAACAGAATAATCAATCTGGATCATTTTAGGTAGCTGTCGTTTTTCAGCATAGTTCAGTACTTTTCATGTAGCGGATTCGACAAATATTATAGATGAAGTCAACTGACTTTAACACATATTTTAAACGTGTTCCGAAGTTTTCTCTCCGACAAACTCGATACACGTATCAATGCACTGAGATTTGTCCGACGCTTGTAACAACTGGTTTCCATATACCTAAATACTAAGTTCCAGATCAAAATATCACTCTTTTCCTCAAGCGTCACTTTTTATACGCATTCGTGGGGCAGGATCTGCCTGTATCTATGTGGCGGTAAGGTTTCAGACGAGATGATCAAGGCCAGTGCAAAAAACGGAGCTGGAAGACGGGAAACAATGAAAGTGATGGTGAAGGACGGGTGGGTGGCAGGGGCTCTGTTCGGGCGGTTACGGTGGTCATGTCTCTCGCTAGAACGACGTGTCTCCTCTCCACGGTATTCTGCAAGGTTGCTGCTGCTTTTTGTACGAATAGGGTAGTCTGGAAGAAAGAACGCGTAAGGCTCGTACCAGCATAGGAACGGTGGGAACATTGCGAAAATATTGGGACAGAAACGCCGATTGTCGGACAGTCAGTGACCGAATCGAGTGCAGTAGCAAGCGAAAAGAGGGAAATGGGGAATACCTAGGACAAAGAACAAGAGCGTGTAAAGAAAATCAAAGAACGAAGACAGAGAGAGAAAACGACCATCAAATATTTTTGCTTTCCCTCGAACGTATCTCCGGCTAGCAAAATAGATGGGGCATCGGAAGGAGCCACGCTGCTCCTGCTGGAGCTCTAGATAAGCTTGTGTTCGTCCGCGGGCGGTACGCCAGCCCACTCGCTAAGAAAGGAACACGTTCGATGGGACGACTGTTAATGCTGTGGTACCCAAGAGTGCAACGATGATGTTCTTCGTATCTGGGAGACAAGCGACGCTTTTGAAACCCCCTCTGTATTACAAAGACGCGCTATATGCAGGCTACCCGACAACTAAAAATATAACGAGCTTTTTGACCGCTTCTCTACAAAGCGCATGCAGTGAACAAGTACCCCAAGTCGATTATACTTCTAAGATGTCTGCCGAACCACACCCAGTGAGTAATCAAAACATCGAGTCGATTCCACACAAATATGGTCACACGTTTTATAGTAGAATCAATGTATATTAGCTCAGCCTTAGAACTTCGTGATTAAAAACTGATGAAAAGCCGAGAATTTTTAACTTCAAGAGGTGGATGTAGCTGTGTATAATGTACATTACTTTAGAATGATGTATATTACTTAACTTTAGAAATGAAGACGTTGATACCTTGTTAACATTATCTCGCTTAGACAGTAATTCAAACGAATCTAACTGCTTTGCTTAAGTTAAAGCATCGATAACTGTAACCACAAAATACTATCATTGTGTTAACTAAGATGTATATATTGATAATTAAATGATTTATGTACCTTCTTTTAAGGATTTAACTTAGTTAAATGAGAAACACAGAGTAAATTCGATCACGAGGATTGATCTGTAGAAAACTGAGGTCCTAAACGCAGGGTTCGTACTTCTTTGCTCAAACTGTTCTTGAAAGCTTTTATTCCGCATGGCGTTTAGTTGGAACTGACTGTAAAAAGGCCATCGCCCCATAAATTATATAAACATTACTAATATGGCAACGTGCAAAAAACAAAAAAAAAAATGTTGGTTTTGCTGTCTGTATATGGTGATGTCCCGGTAAACAGAAAAATCCTCGCTCTTTAGCAGACTTTGACCTAGTGTGAGAGCCGTTGTTAGCATTACACGTTTAGATAGTATTGGATTATATCATTATATTTCTAAAAAAATATAAAACATATATTTTTTGTCGTACGAAAAAGTAGATCAAACAGTCGGGTCGCTCGCTTCAGAGCATGTTTATACTGTATAACATTATTGTTTCTATATTCTGCAAAATAGAAGAGCGAAGTTCAGTTAACGGAAATACCTCAAATCGGCGGAAATTAGATAGAAGTAGAGGTGACTTAGAAATGGAACGGCGGCGATTTTGAGCAACGCTGATTAAGACAAAAATTACGGCTAGTAGAGGGACGAAACGGAGTAGAGGCAGGTGAAAGGCCCAGGGAATGGTTTAAGTCCATTATGAGGCAAAAGAAATCGCTAACTGGTAGAAGATCGACGAAAAAGTTGATGAGAAGAAGAACGCCACTAGGCTCTATGTCGCGTGCCGTTTCTTTTGGTAGCTGCAACAGCCAATGTTTTCCACTACTGTTTGTCCTTGTAGGCCTTCAACTTCACGACGGCTTTCGTTTTCGCTTTGATCACTCTGCAAATTAACTCAACGCTGTAGCAATGAGATTCCGTTGTGACGCTACTTTCTAAGATCTTTTCCAAATTAGACCGACACTCAGAGAAGACTCATCATGAGTACGTGGCGTTTATGTGGAAGCAACGCAGCCGCTTACCTATTCAAATGGACACAATACAGATCGATAGGAGTCATGTATTTAAAATAGGGTTTGCCGTTCGTCTGCGTAAAGCGCGGACCGGACGCTATTGTATGTTCAGGTGCGTCGTCTTGACCTTCCTCGACGGATAGGCATATTAATGATCTTTTGTCCTCTATTAGCGTGTATATATATAAAGCTATACCCATTTCTGGAAAGGTCAGGTGACGATAAGATAAACAGGACCAAGGGTATAACCGTAGCGTTCTATCTTTGGGTCTTCGAAACACATTCGGAGTAATTTTGTTATTGATGTGATCGGATGGAAAAGCTATCAGGTAGATGATGAGCAGTGAACACGCCGTATATGTGATTAGGCGTCGTTCGAAGTTGACGTCATAGATTCTACACTGGCCCTTATTTCAGGGCAAAGCGGGAAAGTACTTTTTGCAACTAAGCGTCCGCAAAAGATTAAGAAGCCGTATTGCAACTTCCATTACCGAACAGAGTTCATATTTTTGTACCACCTACAACATTCAACTATAAAAAAAAGCTCATAGATTATGAAAGCACAGCTATGTTGCACCTTATATACGTTATAATTCGCTCAACCAAACTAAATGAGGTGAGATTTGTTTCTATTCAAGCGCTTGTTTTGTTGTGTACATGCAGATTTGTGAGGCTAGTAAATAAAGCTCGTACAATTACGCTTAGGATTACTTTTTCCATTCCGTTTGTTAGGCCTCTATTATTTAGATACGGATGGAAATAACAATTAATGAATATTGTCTGCCGATTTTTCTTCTATCTGTTCCGCGAATATTCAATGCTATCAGGTATAAATGCCATCGAGGCTGGTCAAAGAAAGAGGGTAGCTGGATCTTCTCTCGTTATTCGGCTGGTTGGCATTGTGGCCTGCACGCAGACTGGACTGAGTTGACGGCATGCGTCGATGGTGCTATAGACCGGCAGGAAGGTGTTCTTCTAGCTCAACACAGCCGAACTGCAGAAACTCAATCATCTATTGGACCAAGGGGCCGTTCGGCTGCAGGGGCAATACAACAAGTTGCCGCCTCAGGGCTGGTCTATGCAGGGACGACCTCTTCCGCTGGCAGCAGTAGCAGCAGCAACAGCCAACAGCTGTTAGTGCCATTGCAACAACAACAACAACAACAACTACATTCGCTCAAAAGAAGGTACTTTACTAGCGCTGCATCGGATTATTACGTTTGCTATAGCTTGAATCGTCTATTTATACACAGTACAGGGTGTATTTATACTGCGAGAACCTTCCAATCAATTTAGTACATTTCCATCATCGAACGATTTCTGTTGTCGCGGTATATTTTTATACAAATCAAGCCTTCTCTATTCCCATTATTTGGTGTGTCAAGGAAAAGAAGATAATAAATTATCACTGTAACACTGACAGGAAAATTTATCAGTTAACACTGAACTGAAGAAATATGAAGATTGATGAAAGATAAAAGCACATGACTTGCTATATATCTAAATTATTGTATAATGTGTGCTAAATGTATATAGACGTGAAAGGCGTTTGTTCGTAGAAGGCACAGTGACGCTTCGATGGAATTAAGGATCATTTTATCTAGCGCTTCATATTTATTTGGCTCGCTTCGTATTTACGTAGAGACTCGAAGACTGGGAGGGTCAGTAAAATGTAATTCATTTTGACTGATCGTTTCAGATATTTTTACATCACGTTACTCCGTGAACCTCGGTCCCGATTCCTCTCAGAGTTTAGGCATGTACAGCGGGGAGCCACGTGGAAGACTTCGAGGCACATTTGCAATGGTAAGATGTGCCAACATACTTAATATGCCTAGACTCTTACGGTCAAACAAGATGTGCGAACAGCGAAACGCTGCTACGTAGTCTTCGTACAGTTAAGCAAGATAGCCTAAAAATGCCATACTGATCCGTATGTGTTACAATGGATAGTATTAATCGCCAGTAGTGTTTTCCGTAAAGAGGGTATTTCCTTAAACAGCTTGCATTGACATATGGTTGAGGTAAACTTATATAGTAAGGTTACTTGGAACAACAACAATAATTTTTTTTCTTGATACCTTTCGCCGAATTTATCTGAAATAGATAAGAATGATTTATTTGGTTTGTGAGTGGAGTTGCCCATTTGTGGAAAGGGGCAATTGTTTTAGAGTATAAACTTCACGAGGTGGTCTATGTGTTAATACAACTAGAGGCTGACTGTGGGGCTACATTGATTAGAAAACGAACATGTTACCTTATAACTGGAACAACTAAAAGTAAAAAAACTGAAGTGCGTCAACGCCTTTACGGTCCCGCGGCTTCGGAAACACTATTGCGCACAGTTTTACGACAGATGTGCAAACGATAGAACAAAGTTACGTATGCGTTCCAATATCGAACAATCTTAATAGACGAGCACGTAGCTAGTAAATAATTCCAACCCTATACGCACCAACGTATGCGTTACCGACTGGTTACTAAAGGTAAAAAGAGAGTGTTCGGGGCAACGGTGCTGTGGCAGCAAACGATTGCAGGACCAAAGCTATGCAGTACTGCGTGTAGCCTTCTAAAAACCATCATGTTTTGTGTGTTGGATTTAGGATTGTTCCTTAGGCTGTCGTGATTTGGCAATACCTCCTTTCGCCGTACCTCTGCCGTTTTGTATGCCAGACATGTACCGAGTTGCCGAGGGCGCTTTTCGCTTTGCGGTTCATGGGAATCAGGTTGTTTTTTAGGGCTAGTTACTCATGTCAACAGGCTACTATGCGTCGCCTTCGTCTACGATTATGACTAATACTTTTGTTTTTAAAATGATGTTAGTTATTTTCGATGTAAGTGCGTATCATCGAATTGAAACACATACCCGCAGAGTTGATGTCTTCCTTCGAAAGCAGCGGAAAAGAACTTGGCCGATTTATATACAAGCAGACTATATAAGCATCACATTCATGGCGAATCGACGGCGGCACAGCGAGCTTCTTCTGGAAGCTTGCTAGCATAAGGGATGGCCGGCTTAGTTATAGTGGACAGCGCTATTTTGCCGGTGGTGGGCTAGCAAGAGAAAAATACGCGGTTGTACCCTAGGAGTCGAGAAATAATGCCCTTAGTAATAACCGGATCGAGGCTTGCACGAAAAAGCGTTCGACCCGCATAACGATTGTTGCTCGTCGTAACGGATCGGCTGGACATCGGGTGGACTAAGACGAGTCATGGAACGAAATAGGGAAGCAACTCTTCAAATCCACTACTAGACGCAGGTTAGATCGTAAGCGTTCTATCCGGTCAAATGCTGGGTTGAACGTTTCGAAGATGTGTGAAAGATTCGTCAAAAGGAACAAATTGGGCAGTGTTGTCCAATTTGCTCACTCTGTAAATTTTAGTACGTTAACCAGCACTGTCGACGATCTTATGAGTCGGTTATAGTAATAGCACTACCACACAAACCTTTTTGTTTATACAGTCACATTGAGTTCCTCAAATATAGAATATATATATATATATATATATATATATATATATAGAAGTATAGCAATTGTCATTTAGGGTTAACTGTTCATTACAGCAGAAGTTTGTGCGTAATTTGAGGGGTAGGTCCAACTTAGTTGCGATGATTGGATTATGCAATAATTGTTTTTGATCTTTTTTTTTATTGAAAACTCGTTTCTTTCTGAAGCTAACTAGCAACACCTGGAGGAAGCCGATATGTTTTGAAAACGGCGGTTTATAAGAGGCTGTTTGTAAGGCACAGATTCCAGCCAAGGCTTGGCAAGCCAATGGACAAACAATCATATCCTTCGTCACTGCTAATTTGACCTTTGTGTCCTTGATGATTGTTGCTGCAGTATGTTGATATCTCCGCACGTGGCCTTTCGCTAGCGATCGTAATCTTTATAAGCCCGTGTAAATTAAGGTCTCGCTAGCAGATTGTCTATTCCATCCCAGTTAGATATACTGGAACCCTACTGTATTCAAGTACACATAGACACACTCACGTGCATTCGCAGAGAAACATTATTGCTCATACACATATGTATTTGTTTCCCGCGGCCGGCTTACAGAATATATATATAACCTTATATAAATAGCTTGCGAATAGTAGAAATGAGACGATGAGCGTGACAACGGGATCCAATAGTGGGTTGAGGATAAACGACGGGCTAGCGGGAGGTTTAGCTTTGAGTTGAGTCATTGGTCGATCCGTCTGGTCAATTAGTCGCTCGCTCGCACGCCTACTGCTTCGTCGAGATCGATGCCAGGTAGTTTCACTGCTATCGCATATTCATACTCCAGCTTCGGCTGCTCGACGCGGCAGGAAGACGATGCGCACATTCCAGGATCATGAGAAGGATAACACAGCTGCTGAAAAAAGCAACGGCAGATCCTTGAACAACACGCCCATGGCCCCATGGTACTTAGCTCACAATGGCATTATCGATGATTGGCGCTCATGTTCAGATATCGGTGCACTTGCTTCGTTTGTTTCGGTTTTGCAAATGATAAAGGTGGAACTAGGATGATGCACAAGCTCTGCCGCCTGCGCTAAGCGCGGAAAAGTAGTCCGTTTTCTTCAGCTCCCGTCACACCCGAACGTCGACAAGGTTCAGGCAGAGTAAAGATTTCAACTAATGAATGCATTTGCTCCCAGCAATCGATTGTTGTTATAATGCAGATTTAGAATAAACGATTTACGACTTAGTACAATGTTCTGCGGCAGGGAGAAAACGAAAAACACCTTTGCCGGTGAGCGAACCTTTATTGCAATGAAAATAATCATTAACATTAGATAACAACAATTACGCTCAGAGCCTATCGTTCTTAAGATTATCTTGTAGAATACATAATATTTTTTTTACTTTTCTTATCTTGAATAGCATTAGCGGTAGTTTTCTATAGAAAGCAATAGTTCTGTTAAGATTCACAAGAACATTAATGTGGATTGTTCGATTTTTATTGAGGTACAATCCCGAATGTGCATGCACCCTAGATAGTAAACAAACATCTAATAAACAACTTTAAAGTTATAGCTTGTGTTATATATTCGTGTTGTTATACTTATATCTTTTATTTGTCGTTCGCTGCGAGCAGAATTCTATTGTAGAGTTATGTTTATGGGCAATTATGCAGACAGTTTTTACAAGCTATTTAAAGTTTTACTAAGGTCTCGTTTCGCTGAAAGTACGGAAAGAACTGTAAATGATTTCGCGAACAACTTGTACAAAGAAGACACAAAATATTTATATGTAATTGAATTCTACCAACATGAATAGACAGCTTTTAAATTCAAACGTCTCTTTTCCCTAAGGTACAAAGATTGTTTATCTGAACGTTGCCTTAGTATTGCGGTCACCGAAAGATCGTTAACGTTGCTCTTACTTCAACTTCGCCCTATCATCACAGCTTGAAAGATAAATTCTACTTGCTGTTCTAAAGGTTCTTACCCACTACTAGATCTTCCAATATGTCCCGACACAATCTGCTTTGCGACAAGTGGTCAGTACCAGGCGAATTCTTGAACCAATCGTCATTAATATTTTCAACTAGTAGGGATCTCGTCGGGAAGTTTTCGATTTTTTTTTTTTTTTACTTACAAGCTCTTCAAGGTATTCTATTTTTCTCTGTCGTATATGCATACGCACTGTGTGACAAACTTTTCCATTCGTCCTTTTTTCCTTTGCAGGACGGCCTCCAACCGTTGACGAGCTACCGGCATGTTACTCGACGCCGGATTGGATGGACGTGACGTTTTCCGAATTCGTGTCCTGTCGAAGTAATCTGGCCATCAACCGCATGACTCGAATGCTGGCTGATCTATCGCTCGTTGTTTGCTATAATGAGTCGGCCATGCCTCGCGCACAGCGGGACGCGTTGTTGCTCGCATCAGCCAAAAGTAATCTTCGCAAAATGGCTTTTTTCGCCCTTTGCGAATTCCAAAAGATCTCGCAGTACCTTTTCGAGCGTACTTTCGGCCTACGGTTTAAACAGGCCTTCGTTCAATACAACTATACTAGAAGTTCATTGGCTATCGCGGAGGTGAGCAGTGCCGATCTCGAGCTTATTGACCAACTTAACTCGCTGGACATACAGCTTTACGCGTTCGCTAAGGAATTGCTCATGGAACGATTTGAGCGCGCTAAAAACCATGATCCAGATTTTGAGCAGAATTTTAACCGAGTCATGAACAACAAGGTAGCCCTCTGAAAAGCTCCAATCAGCCTGATCTTACCCCATCGTTGTCAAGCGTTCAAGAGTGGTGTGGAAAAAAGCAGTCGTGACGTTGTTAGTTGTGGGCACCGCTTCTACGGTAAACCTGCTCAATTCTCCATTCGAAAACCTCTGAGCTGATTGAAGAGCGTCAAAATTAGGAAACAGAAGGCGTGAGGAAGGAGGGAAAAGTTTTCAGTTATTAGCTGGAGATCACGAGCGTGTTTTTCGAAAATGGTTGAATGAAAAGTCGGTTGAGAACGCCTGACCCGTACTATAGTATACGTAATATAAACATACACTCACCCCACATAGTACACGTGTGCTTGTCTGTATAGAAGAAAAGAACGAAAGTTTTTTGTCGGGGGCGCTTATGATATACAGCCGAATTTACCGTAATCGCTTACACCTAACAACACAATTCGAAAGGGTGGTACCAGTGCCATAAGCTCGGAATACGTCTTCAAGACTTGACTATCCGGGTCAACAGCTAGGGTCGAACAATATAACAGATAAACAATGTTACGCACTGTTAGAAACATATCTCTCTAAAGAAATGGCAGTTAGAAAAGGAGAAAAATGCAGGCTGATTAAACGGCGAAAAGGAAACAACTGCGCTTATTTTTATCATAGAACCATTACATTGGTTAAAATCTTACAGACGTCACCATCGCTATTACAAGAGGACGAACAGTGCAACGTAAAACTGTTTATTGTGTTTTTTTTACAGTCCTATATTAGCGTTCGTTAACTGCATTTAACAAAGCAGGATTGTCTGTAGTAGCAGCTATCCTTTGTCAATTAACAAGATGTGGAACTGTTAAGTATTAAAGGACGTAATATGAAGAAATCAGTGCCCCATATGAAGATAACCTAAGACAACTGTAGATTTCGAGCTTGTAAACAAACAGCCTGTCTTAACTAGGGAGGCACATAGATAGCTTGAGGCTAGTGAGAGCTGTTTGCGAGCGTCCTGAAGAAATTCCCTGTCTCCAACAAGATGTGTGTCTAGACGTCACAAGCCTCACACTCCACCGTAATTACAAAGACAAGACATTAGCTGAGAACAGAAAGTATTATATGAGTAGGCGGAGTAACCTGCATATCTACCTGGCGGGATCGTCTTCAGGAGCGCTGAACTAAAATGATTCCTACGGGAAGATATTTTATTTCTTGTAGAAGTGGCAGGGGATGGGATAAATAAGAAACAGAGCACTGCAAAAGAAGAAAAATGGAAGGGTCCGCGCAGTGTGGATTTTACCACAAAGATGGCCGGTCTTGAAACTTTAGACCAATGCAGCGTCTCGCCGGCGTAGAGTTTTAGCACTCGACGAGAACAAACCAGAGAAATGGAAGCAAGGAAAGGTTCTGTGCAGTGCGCAGTGCAATATAAAGCGTAACGTATTCCTCTGTGCCTCCTACAGGCACACAGTATGTAATATACATGAATGAGGTTACAGTAATAATAATTACTATTATTATCATGACGGATATTACCGTTCCATGGTGCCAGCAAGAGTATTTCTAATACCATTAATAGATGATACATAATGTAAGCCGAAGAAACATGTGGGCTGGGACGTTACCGACAAACTACCTATCGTATCCACTGGGCGCTATGTAAGCGGTTAAATGCGTGTGTGCGTGTGTTACTGATACCGCACGGATTACGATCCGTCTTAGTTCTACGAAGCAGGGGTACGTATACGCTACCTGTTTTTAGCATCGGGTCTCCTTGCTATGTCTGTATTCTACATCTGTGTACGTATATCAAACAATAAATTCAGATAACAAACGGTGCGATCATTAAGCTTGCAGCGACAATACCTGAGTAGCTGTTTATTTCACTTATAATTTATTTATCTACTCTAATAATAAGCAACTCAGAATGATCTGTTTTTTTTTCCCGATTCTTTTGTATTTTAAATACTCTTCGATTGAACAGTGATTTCAGTGTTTCTCGTATTTCTTGCTAATCGTGGTCATTTACTTCTCTAGTTGCCGATCAGAGCAGAGCGATCATTAAGGCGAATGATCGGCATTATATGGGATGGTGCCATCGGGAAAGGCGGACATCTATTGCGATTTCCAGGGACTATCCCGCTTCTAATTACTCAAAACAGGAACTCAACGAGGCTAAAGTGTTTTTGAATGGGAACGACAAACAGGATTACATAGGATGAATCGAAAGAACATGTTGACGACGCATAGTGAGACTTGTGTTGTACCTGGAAAGATATAAACAGTATCAAACCATTGCAGAGAATAAGAGACATACTATAATAGTTCGCATAGATGAAGAAGACGAAAACAAGATATCACAAATGGAATAGAGAAAAAGTTTTACGTGACAATTGAAAAACAGAAACGGTGAAGAACAATACGGAGCCACAACGGTGTACTTCAGGGAGAAATACAAATGCCAATAAAAACATATCCGAGTTTATTGAGGAACTGACCGCACGACATAGTAGCGTCAGACATCTATATCAGGGAAAAAATCATGTCAGCAAATAGCACATAAAGGTGGTTCCAATAAACGCATGTCTGTGTCGTTAATCTGTGACAATGACGAAGTACATACGTACAGACACCGAACATGAGACTTTTAATGACACGTGACGAAGCCAATTGGGAACGACTCAGGCTGAAAGCATTGTTGACAACTGGCGTGAAGGAGGGAGAGAACTAAGAGGGTCGGATCACGATGGAGCAAGCCAAGCTGTTAACATGTAGATTGTGTTGTATGTAGGTGTGTATGGCCGGCGTTCGAAAGAGATGGGAGACAAATGTATTAGGAGCGTACAAAAATCGCTCAAATAGAGTACAACTAATATGCAATGAACGATATTACGATGGCGGTGATCTAAATAATAGGCAACAACTATAAAAAAATAAGAGTTAACAAAAGTAGCTACTAGTGTTACGTCAACGGCAAATCAAAGGTGTCAGAATTCATTATAAAATGGCAGACATATAGATGATACTAATGACACTAATCGCTTAAACAAAACAAATAACTGATACAAATAATAATAATAATAATACAAGCTAGCATGACATAGGGGCTGGGTACGTCTGTGTGTCATGGAAACGGTCTTTTGGGACGGAAAGACAACTTAGAAAAGATGTACTAGAATAAGGGAAAATACCGAAACAAAGGATCGCTCTTACATCTGCATCGATAGGAAGATGGTCACAATAAACAACAACAATGGTAATTTTAATTGTATTACTAGAAATCCACAAAATAACAACAGCTTATTAAGTGACCAACGACAAGGAACGAACATACTGCAAAAAAAAGACGAGAACGTCAAGGAATACGAAAGGAAATAGCCAACACACTGCTGGAATATACGAAGCAACAAAATAGGATTTTGATTGAAAAAAGGAAGAAATAACAAATGGGACAAAAAAGGATAAACAATAATAAATACGAATATACATTTATGATAACGTGAAAACAGAACTGGGAACCGTATCTTCATTCGACCTTTGTCTTCTCTATTCATTAACTCATATTTTTGTGCACCTTTATTGTTTTCTAAGGGAAAAGAAAAAACCGATTGTTACAGAGAATATAATATATGGTTTTAGTTCTAGAGCCTTAAAACGCATAGGCTTAAAATGGACATCAGTGACAGTGAGCGTTCTTCATCTGTCAGTGTATCAGCTTTGCTCAAGCCTTACTGTCTTTCAACGTTTTCACATCTAACCATGTTTCAGTGGAGTATAAATCCACTGATATCAAGTGGAACCGACATCCCAAACAGGCTTGTTGATACGTGAAGCGCTTTCATGCATCGATATGGCGAAAAAAAGTAAGTGTACTGGTTTCGCAACATACAACACAAGTGGTAACCTTAATTTTTTATAGAAGTCTCAGTATACATGTTTGACATGCACCTTGAGATTTTTTAACCTCAACTCCTTACCCTCAAAGCAAACACACCGAATTTTAGATTTATTCAAGCCCGAGGCTGTGTTTCTAAAATCCCCTAAAAAAAACAAAAATGTGAACTATGACAGTGATTTTTTCATGGAAAAAATAATATTTCTACATGGAGGCTCTTCCAGCTACCTAAATTTAAAGCGAATTATCCTATAGACAGTTGCATAGACTAAATAATCGTCGTAGAGGGTGCCATACACTTGGAAATAGAAGCGAAATTAAGCCAACTAGCCACTGACACGCACTAAAGCGTCTGATATCGTATGAATAAGTCGCATCGCAACCAATCATTTTCCACTCGTAAATTGTTTGTCAATAGGGTTTCGCATTTACTAGACGCTCGCGTGTTCCTATGCATCGTTTTTCTTTTCGCGTTTTCTCGTAGACAAGTTAACTGGAACTTGAAAAGAACCCTTTCCGGGTTAGGTTCGCTGGTGCCTAGTTTTGCAGAAAGCAAAAAACGTTTAGTGTCCTTAACCAATACTTTCGTTGCTCGACCGTCGATTCCTGCCTCAAGGCGTTCGACAGTCCTTCGCATGCTAGTTGTAGCTGGCACTGGGTGGCTACCTATCTACTGCCGGGCACCACCATCTTCCACTTAATGCTTATTTTGTTCCCTGTGATTTGTCTGGATTTGCTCAGCGCCGGTGCCGTCACCGACCCTTAATTTCCCGTGCCCTAAATCCTTACTCTCGGCGGTCTCCCGCGATCGGACCCTACTCAAACAACCACTCGTTGTTTTATGCCTATGGGCAGTTCTTTCATAATAGTCAATGGCAGTGCAACGCGCTACAAAGAAACATCACCTTATTGAGTAGTTTCGCCGTTCTGGGCTAGTCAATAACATTGTATGTTGTAATGCCCTTTGTAGGGCATTGTCTACTGTCATTCTCTAAAGTCTCAATCCAATTTAGCCACTGGGAACAGTCATAAACGTTTGGTCTTTTCTTTTTTTTTCCCAGTTTTTCAATTCTTGTTCTATTTTTCTTTAGGGCTCAACCTAGAGGCCCAACATGGCCATACTTCGAATCGTTTAAAGTCATTTGAAAAGCTATTGGGTACAATACTGAGCCTTGCTGTTGCCGGTGGTTATTGCTAATAAATAACATGGATTCACATTGTTTATACGGAACTGTTCTGAATGCTTGGTCCAGAATGTGGTGTAAGAAGTACCGCCAGCTTTTACCGTTGTTAGGTACATTCATCATTAGTACGGCAAGCACCGATTATTTGTTTCATTATGAATAAGCAGCTCAACAAAGACTATACATGTCAGGCATTTTTTTCAGCACGGACACAGCAGAGGTTTGTCTAGTGATTAGCTGAGATCTACTAAAGCCAATAAAAGCAAAAGTAGGAGCGGGTTGAGCCTTACGTAGCCTTTTGAACCTTAGTAATAGTTGATCGCCAGATTTCAAGTCTAGCGAGCATCTCCGATAATCTCCCCTTGGATCACCTGAAGTAGTTTAGCAGAAATGACAGGAAAGGTCCATAAAATTCATTTGCAGACAACGGAAAATACGTGCGTAGACTAATAAAGACCAGTGACATTTCAGCACGATCAAACCTCGGGGCCTCACATAAACATTCGGTGATCAATGGGCTTTACGCAAAGGGGTCGTTACATTTGCTCCCGACGGAGTAAACATAATATCTAGATAACGCTTTAAACAACCACCCGTAGCAATCTAAGAGGAATCAAAACAGGCATTTACCAAATACATAGGCACTGCCGAAGGCACACTGTTACCAAAAAGAACATTAACAGAAAGAAAATCTGCTACAGTTTAGCCAACAAGCGTTTATTATTAGGCACAGACAATTACGGCAGCTGTTATTTTGGCTGTGCCGGAAACATTTTTTATTTATTTTACACATCGTTTATTTGTGGTAATTAAAATGAATTAACTTCCTGATTGACCGGCTTTCCTACCTGCTAATTTCATACTGCAATGAAAAATGACATTTTTTTTTGAAGTGCCGTTAATACCTTGAGGAAACAGCTGAAGAGAAACAGAACCACTGTAAATCAAACATGTAAAGTGGCTCTCAGTGTTTAAGAACGTTTGATAAGGGAAATGAAAGGTTTCTTTAATAGATAATGATATAGAGGCCATGAGTTTTTGAAGCTAACCGGGTTTGCGTTGCAGGAGAAAATCTGATGTACATGAAGGGTATTTTCCAAACAATGTAGTATAGTATATATCCGAATCGGCTTCGGTGGGTGTAGGGTCAACTAAACTAGTATCTTATTTTTTTATATTTATGACGAAAGGTCAACTTTTGCTTATCTGTCTACTAACAGCTTTGATGTGAGTTGTCAAGGTCATCAAAATGGTAATAGCATGTCTGCACAGACTAAGAATTCGTATATTTGGAGATTACCGCTTTTGATAATTAGTATTTAATTCCTTATTGACATACTCAACTAATTTCAAAAAAAAAAACGTTCTGAAAAAGGGCTCCTCAGAGGGGCACGACATGGCAGCACTCTGCCAATTAATTCGTCATGACTGAATGGAACGAACACAGTGATCTGCTTACCCCGAACCGCGCCCCTAGTCACAACAGGCACATCCCTTTTGCTCTGCCAGCAACTGATCACACTGTTGTACATAGTCAAAAGTATGGTAAGAAACAGCTGAAGGATAAGCATATGCTATAATGTGTTTCCGTATCGTTTAATATGTAAACACTGCAAAACAAAAAATAGTCCAGTAGAGCCATCATCGCCCGAAAGTATTAACGAAACTCTCAATGCGGTCCTTTGGCAATGATTCCTATTTTATATAGGAAGAGCTAAGGATCCGAGAGAGCAAGATTTGCTCATTTTTTTGCTAACCTCATTGGGGTCGGAGGATTATAGTACCCGCTACTTATCTGTTAGAGTATCTGTCTGTTCCTGCGACATATATTTATACAATCTAAAGCAAACACGCCTTTACTAAAAGAAAAGGTAACATAGAATTTAGGTATGTATCTTTAGGAGACTAATGTGCAAATGGCGCAAATTTGCACGTGGAGCTTTCCTGTCGCCCGTGCTTATTTTAGGTCCTAAATTGAGAGGGTGGACTAATACGCCAGTCTGCGCACGTCTATCCAGTTCAACCCGCATATATATATATCTACTTTCTTTCTAATGGACGACAAAGCCAATGGCTTATGGAGTTGTAGCAAAAAACTCTAATTGCAACTTAACATTTAGACATTGCATTGTCCAGGGCACAATAAAAACGGTGTTTAAAAGATTCATTGAAGCATTGCTATTTGTCTGCAATGTAAGTCGGAAGAAATTTGTCTTCTATTTTTTGAACAGAACAAATAATACGCTTCCTTTTCGAGCCTTTAGATTTTGATTTATAAATTGGGGTCGTGGAGTTTGGTACCGTCAGGTATCTATACTGAAATGTAACATTTATCAGCTAACTTTATAGCGTCTACTAGAGATCCGTTAATAGGGATAATTTTTTTTATCGTAGTAACAATTACTCTGGTGCCTCAATCACTCAGTCGATTTTGAAATGAACAGAATTGTGCCATTTGCGTTTAATCATTTCACTAGCAACAGTATACGAAAAAAAAAAAAGTAACAGACCTCATGGTCTCATTTACACCGTACATGGAGAACAATGTGCGCCAAACGTCCTCTCAGAAGCTGCTCGCGGAACCCGACCCATTTCGCGTAATATCGAATCACGGTTTCGTATAGTTACTCAGCATCAATTTTACCCAATACAGTGCTATAAGTTATCGATTGCTTCCGGCGTTATTCCTATCTCTGGTATAGCTTCACAGAAAAAAGTCGAGAAGAATCAGATTATCAAACAGGGACGGCCATTCGATGTTACCGCTCTGCAACAAGCTCAACCAGGCTGGAAACATAGTTTCGAGCTTGAGATTGATTGTTTCTGGCCCAACTTGTTGAATGCCCTCATTTCAATCAATGTATCTACTCCATCCTCATTTCACCATTGGCTGGTGCTACTATTCCGTCGTCATTTTCAAACAAAAAAGGCCCAACCATATCTTTGCTCCACAAGCTGGACTATACACACGAGTTCTCGTGAGTAATATAGTTA